TCAATGTGGAAAAGAAAGTCCTTTAAATAAAAGGTGGAACAATTGGATATCTGTATACAACAAAGTAAACCTTAACCCCTACTTCATTCCTGACAAAAAATGAATTCAAGATGGATCGTACATTTAAATATAAAAGCTTAGAATTGTAAAACTTCTAGAAGAAAACATACAATATCTTCACAAATGTGGAGTTGTGAAGCACAAAACTATAAAAGGAAAAATATTGATGAATTGGATTGTATCAACATTAAAATTTTTGCTCATCAAAAGACATCATTAAGAAAATGAATAGGCAAGATATAAACTGGGAGAAAATACCCATTAAACACATTCGACAAAAAGATTTTTCTGAAAATATAAAGAACTTTATATAAAGAAAAATACAAATCAATAATAAAAAGACAACACAAAAATGGGCAAAAGACTTGAACAGCACTTCATAAAAGATAGACATATGGTCAATATGTATATTGCTCAACATCATTAGCTATCAGAGAAATGTAAATTAAAATCACAGTGAGATGCCACCTTACACCCACTGGCACTGTCATACATTGCTGGTATGTATGTATGGAAGTAGCATTTTCTTATAAAGTCAAGGATGTGTATATCCCGTGACCCAGCAATTCAACTTATAGGTAAGAAAATGAAAATATATGGTCATAAAATGTCTTTTACAAGAATGTGCAGGGCTGGCCCAGTGGCATAGTGGTTAAGTTTGAATGCTCTGCTTCAGTGGCCTCGGGTTCGCAGGTTCAGATCCTGGGCACAGACCTACACATCGTTCATCAACCAATGCTGTGGCAGCATCCCACATGCAAAATAGAGGATGATTGGCACAGATGTTAGCTCAGGGACAATCTTCCTCACCAAAAAAAAAAAAAAGAATGTTCATAGCAGCCTTATTCACAATAACCAAAACCTGCAAACAACCTAAATGTCTATCAACAGGAGAACTGATAAACAAATTACGGTATATTTATACAACTGAATACTACTCAGCAACAAAAAGAATAAACTACTGACATATGCAACAACATGTAGAAATCTAAAAATATATATATTGAGTGAAAGGAGCCAGCCACAAAATATATATTGTATAGTTTATAGGAATTCCATTTATAGGAAGATCAAGAATAGGTAAAATTAGCCTCAAGTGACAAATTAGAAAGTGATTGCCTTGGTGTGTGTATGCGTGTGTGTGTGAGGGTGGTGAAGATAGTTTTGCTTAATGGACTGGAAAGGAATACAAATAAACTTTCTGGGTTCGTGTAAATGTTCTAGATCTTGTTTTAGGTAGTGGCTTCTTGGCTGTATATAGTCGTCAAAACTCATATTCTGAACATTTAATATCTGTGCACTTTATTGAATGCAAATTATACCTTGACTTAAAAATGGTCTGTAGTCATCAGGGATTAAGTATGTAGTTTGGGAGGCAAGCCTTTGATGAGAATGGCAGAAGTGAAGAATACAGGAATTGTGGGGTGGGTTTGCTATTTTTAACTGCACTAAGATGCTTAAAGAAAAATGTAATAAGCTCAGAGGTCCAGAGAGCTTCTATATTGCCTTAAAAAGATATCTCTATGGTTTGCAAGGATGATATATCCAATCAACTATTAATCCTGTGCACAGCTGAATTACAAAGAAACCTGAATAAACAGACTCACCAGGTCTTTTAGGTGAACAATTAATGCATTGACTGAGAAGGAGTTGGATCTTGAGAATTATAATGGAGCTGTTTGGGTGGACTAGGATAATTCTATCATCTTGATAGACAGACCCTACAGAGCTTTTTGCTTTCTGAAGAACTCCTTTCTTGTCTTTTAAGGCTGGTCTTGTCTTCTCTGAAAATTCTGAAATAACTTCATCTCCTTACTCCTTGTAAGGAGTTGCTGATTCTTCTTATAATTCACTATTACTTCTTTATACCTCTAGACCAGCACCACCCAGTGGAAATACAATGTGAGCCACAAACGTAATTCAAAATTTTCTAGTAGCCACATTCAAAAGAGTAAAAAGAAATAGGCAAGATTAAATTTTATTAATATATCTTAACTCAATATATCCAAAGTATTATCATTTCAACATGTAATCATTATAAAAATTAAGACATTTTACATTCTTTTGCATATGCAAAATCGGTGTATATTCTGCACTTACAACAAATCTCAATTCAGACTAGTCACATTTTAAACGTCCAAGAGACCTACTGGGTCTCCTGAGGCCAGGTCTGGAACTGGTCTAAGATCACTTTCACCATATTTATCGTTCAAATCCAAGAGGAGGAGAAATAGGCTCCACTTTTGATGTGTGTACAGCAATGAGAATTGTTTGGAGGCCATCTTCGGAAACAGTTAACCATGACACCAAACCATTTTTTAAATTGCTTTTTTATTTTGCTAAGTACTATTTGTATTCATCAGGTAACTTTAACCTATTATTTCATTGTTTGCTATTTTTACATTATAAGACATATTTGTCACCATGAGGAAGGGAAACACAATTTCCATCCAATACTGTATCGTGGCATCCTACAGACAAATGTACCACTAATGAATTCAATGTTTATTAGGCACTTGATATTTTAAATGATTTATATCAGGGTCTGCAGACTATGTCCTGTGGCCTCACCAATCCTGCTACCTATTGAGTTTTATTGGAGCACAGCCAAGCTCATGTGTTCATGTATCCTCCACGGCATCTTTTGTACAATAATGGTAGAGTTAAGTAGCTGTATGACAGAGACTGTACAGCCCACAAAATCTAAAATATTTACTATGTGGCCCTTTACAGAAAAAGTATGCTGGCCCCTGCTTTAAATTATGCAGAAATCTTTGGTGGATTGTTTCATAGGTGGTCAAATGTTTAATAATATTTGGAGAACTGGGGGTTTGGGGTTGGGCTGGAATGCATTATTTTTTCTCCTTAAATAATAATGGAATAACGGATTTTTCTATCCAAAACTTGACTATCCAACCAGATTTCAGGAACAGTTAGATTCAGAGGATGAGGGATGCCATATTTACTTTACCTGGACAAGTCGGTTAAAATGGTCAACATGAGAATCGTATATAATTATTTTCAAGAAGTCTGGCTTTGAGATTTTGTGAATGTTTCCTCTTGAATGTCTTATAAAGGTGGTTACACCTAATACCAATGCAATTTAATCAAACTAAGTATTTTTCCTAAGAGGAGCCTAACGTCCGTGTACAATTATTTCTAATTATGACAAGTTAGCAAGGTTAACTGGGATCCTAGGTTAGTGCTGGAAAAGGTCCTTAGAATTATGTTCCTTGCCCCAACTCCACCTGTCCCTTAAACAGCCAACACACCCCCAGCCCCACGCCCGGACCCACTATGAGAAGACTGGCCCAGAGAAGTTAGTTAGCCTGCTAGAGGTCATAATCCCTCATCAGTGCGAGTAGGTACTTAAATCCTCAGTCCCCTGGGCTTTTTAGTATTTGCATATATAGAACAGTTGAATGAATTTTTAACTCTCCGGAATTTTTTGCTGGACAATCACAGTTCTGGGCTGGAAAAAGCATTGCTAGACTCATCACTGGAAACTATTCCTTAGTAAAATCAATCAGGAGGTGCATCATGGTTAACTGCTCGGTTGATAGTTGCTCTATCTGTGAACTTGATACAATGGCGTACGATTCTTAACATGAACATTAAGTTGAGGCGTTGGATAAAGTTTTTTACTTTTCCGAATAAAAATCTCGTCTTGTTCAGGAGTTTATAAACCATACAAGCTGGCTATAGCACAGATCCAAAGAATTTGAGACCCGAAAGGCGATCACCCTCCGGCTCCCTCACTTAACAGGAGCAAAGAGAGGCCCAGGGGAAGATCTCAGCTGAAGAGCAATCCCATACACCTAAAACGAGGTTTCTTGCAGTTGCCTTCGCCTTTTCAAATCTCCCCTTTAAAAAGCAAAGCCAGGGCTCTTCCAGGCGAAGTGTCAAAAAATTCGGAATCTATCTGCCTTATTTCCCTTTCTGGTTGAGCACAAGTAAGATTCTCGTTAACTACATACAGGCACTGCCCATTTCGTAAAACAAAAGGTTTGCAGAAGAAAACTTTATCCGTAGAAGCAAGAGACAAAGCGCCTCTCCCAGGCCCCGCCCCCTCACTCCCGCCAATAGCAACAGGCGCCGGCGCTCACTTTCCCGACCTGGCCAATCGCCGCGCCGGAAGGGGCGGGGCGCCCGTTGCCAGAGAAGCCACTCGCAGGTTACCAGGTCTGCTTTTGTTCCCGGTGCACTTTAGCGCGCCCCCTTCCGCCGCAAGCAGGTCCAGGAATCCGGCTTCCTTCCTAGCTCTGCCCCCTGCACTGCCCCCCGCGTCCCGCTCCCTCCCGACCGACCAGGGCTGGAGAGCACAGGTACGCCCTTCGGGCTTTCGGCTAACGTTTGGAAGCCTCAGCCCTTTCGGCCCCTCGGACCCCTTTCATAGCGGAGCGGCGGCGGGCTGACGTCACGGCGCCGTGCTGATGCAGCGGCGGGGGCGTAGGCGCGCCTTAGGCGGGGAGCGCAGTCTGTGTGGGAAGCTTGGGCTGCCTTTGGCCGGTTACGGGGGCGCCCCCGGAGGCCCGGGGCGGGGCGTGGGTCCCGGAAGTGGAAGCCCTTCGCGCAGGCCCGGAGTACACCTCAGCCCCCTTCTGCCCGCACCCTCCCCTTCCCCCACACCGACGGCCTGGGCTAGAACGAGGCCGCGGCGCCCGGACTCTTAGGAAGGGGGTGGTCCCTGGGGCGGCAGGGCGGATCTTAGCCGAGGTGGGCTTGTTCAGAACCGAGCCCTGACCGGGCCGGCCCGGCGCCTGGCGGCATTCCTTTCCAAAATAGCGAAATCGTGCTCTCGTACTCGGCTGGCTTTTAAGTGCCCACCACCTAATATCCTAGAGTGTGGTAGGCCCTGGGGCTCCATGTTTGAAGAATACTCCAGAAAACCTCAGGAAATAACTCCTCCGGACTCCTTCTAGGTGCCAGCCTCTATAGGAGACCCCTTCAGTCCTTGGCGGGAGGCCGACTTGGGTTCTGTCTTGGCTCTGCCAGTGAACCAGCTGTGTGGCCTTGGGCAGGTCACTTAACCTTGGCTTCAGTTCTGTAAAATGAGGACGATAATAGTCACTTTGGAGAGGTTGTAATAAAAGAGATTAAGTAAACGCAGTGCTAGGTTTTGCGGATGGGTGGTCAGTTAAGCGGTGCTTGTTCACTGAGACGACCATAGCCGGACTGGCTGGTGTTGGGGTTGAAGTATTGCGGCGACAGGCATGGTCAGGTTCAGGTGTTACTCAATGAATGAGGTTCTTGGAATGGTTTTAAGCCCCGCTTGGTTAGTTGTGGTTAAAGGAACAAACCACAGAAAGGCTCTCTGCTTTTAGAATTAGTTTGATACCTTTCTGCTTGCAATAAGAATGTCATGCTCATGTTCGTAATAACAGCTGGATATCCATTTTTTGCTTCTCTTTCTCTCCTATTTTCACAATTGGTGTGTATTAATAACATAGTTTTTGTATCCCAGACCCCCAAAGGTATGAGCAAATGGCTTTGTTTCTATTGCTCTTATTCATTGTGCTTGGTCTGTGCAAATGAATGAGACCCAAAGAGTTGGGTATAGCTATAAGGTTGAAATAACATTTACCCACTGGGCACACTTCTGTTGGAGGTCAATGATTGTTTTCCCCTGGGCTTTGGTTTAGTAGTACTGTCAATTTATGACTACGCTGAAGATGCTTTGTAACAATTCTGCAAAGAATACCTCTTGAAAGTGTTGTTTTGAAGATAAGAGTTGGTTCTATACGAATAACTCAGGTCTGCAGGTAATTTCAGGAATGGTGATTGACTCAGGATTTTTTTTTTTTTAAAGAAATGAAAAATTTTAAAGAGAAGACCTGGTCGGAAAGCAGCTCCAATAGAGTGAGCCAAAGGGGCCCTAAATTAAAAAAAATAAATAAACAAAAAACCCCACCTGTAAGTGCTTCTACTTCTTTCTGTTGAAACCTCACCGCAGCTTTGGCTTGCAAAATTGTTCTCATTTTGTAGAAGAGAAAACCTAGGCTCCTTGTGGCTAAGGGTTGTCCATGTCAGGTGACTCATAAAGACTAAGAATGGATGAGTCTGGCCCAATATTCTTTCGTTTTAATGTGCTGCCTCTGGATCATCAAGGTATGGTTAAATTATCTTCAGTCTGTCTATGCTCTGATTAAGAAGGAAGGAAGAAATATTTTTAAAAGGTTTTTTTCAAACTGGTCTAAGTTAATATTGGTACTTAAACGGATAAGCTATTATTATGTGGAATTTATATGGGGAGCAATCCATTCATATGGTCATGGGTAAATGAGGTGTTATATTTGATCACTTCTTTCAGTACTGATCTCTTTTTATTCTGGCATTTTAATTCTCATTCCTTCATTGTTTTTATCACCAGTGGAAACAGCATTTATTTGATTCCTTCAAAATTTTTTATAGGAAAAGAATGTTGAAATTTCATCTCTCTGGGACCCTAGTAACGAGTTTCGCTGCTTCTACCCTCCTCCTCTCCATATGCCTCGCCCATTCTCCAAACTAGCACTGGATTTATCTTTTAAAAATGCACTTCTGAGCTGTTATTCCTCTGCTTAACATTATTTAATGGTCTATCTTAACCTTTGGGAGAAAATTTAAGCTCTTGAGCTTGGCAGACAGTGACAGCTTTGAGAGTGTCCAGTTTCATCTTTTGCCGCTTGCCCTTGCAAGTCATGTTCTTTCACAATTCCTTGCTCTTGCTGGTCCTGTACCTCTACCTGAAGCGCCTTTTCCGGTTCCCTTTTGCCAAGCTCAAACTTGTTCTGCAAGACTCTACTGAGGTTCCACGTCCTCTGGGAAGTCTCCCAGGATCCTGCCAGTTGGCATTAGGATCCTCCTGTACGCTCTCCTGGTACCCCATGAGTCCACTGTCACAGCCCCTTAGCACACTGGATTTTAGTGGTCTGTTCACCGTCTGCTCTCTTTAGAATAATAGTCTGTGCCTTCAAGGAGCTCAATCTTATTCATCCTCCATTTCCTTGCACAGAACAGTTTTCATTTTTGGAGTATAAATCGAATCGGTAAGAGTGTTGTTAAAACCTGGGTGAATCGAAGCAAGTTTGTATGTTGTGTAGATTCTTATATTCATTTATATTTTAATATCTGATGACTTTTGGTTCAAAACTGAGTTTCACCACTTCCTTACTTGTAATCATGGGCAAGCTCCTTAACCTTTCTAAGACTTGGTTTCCTCATCCGTAGCTTTTAGATGTTAATAACAAACTCATAAGGCTTTTTGTGAGGTGGTGTTTATAAGATCAGTCAGTGCTCTGTTAATAAATGGCGGCTGTTGTCCTCATGTTGAAGGAAAGGACGATGCTTTATGTTTATGTGGTAAAGGATGCTAATTTTGTGATTAGGCAATATTCTGGATGTCTTTGGTCCACTCTTCTTCTGGGTGATTGTCCCAGTTTAAACAATAAATTATTTGGTCACCCTAAGTTGTCTGTTAGAACCGAACCTATGCCCTCACTGTGTTCACTGTGTTTTGAGGGCAAAGGATGATGGGTATGATATTTGCCCCCACAGATTTAGTAGCAAGTTTAAAAGAAAACTAAAATATGAGCATTTATGGAGTAATTAAATTCTCAACTGTGTGATGCTGAAAATACTATTAGATGTTTAGGGTTCTTGGTGCGCTGGAGCAATCAGGGGACTATTTTGGGCAGGAGGGGAACTTGGGCCTTGAAGTAGATATCCTGTATTTACGTATCAGTCACTTGCTGTCGACTTTTTTCTCCATATTATCCAATCTGCAACGGTCTTTTAAATTTAAATTTCTTTTTCTCTGTATTCATTGGAGAGAAGCTTTAGCTAATTATTTATCTAAGTTAACCTCTCTATATCAGAACATGTTTTCTCCAATTTTGGTAACTTTTACTGGTGAGATCTATTTTCCACCTGTGTTTTTTTTTTTACTTTTTACCTATTTCCAAATTTTCTATACAATTTTTTCATTTTGGAGTCTCAAAAGCCGTACAATTATTTCTCTAGTGAATTTTTGGCTAGTGTCTGGAATAGTGAGAGGAGTGCGCAGCATTACTGCATCTGCTTTGTGTTCCTTGCTGAATATTTCATGATGAATTTCTCAGTAGAACTCTGTGCTTTTGTTTGAAGCCATAGGGAGCTAATTTTCCAAGAATTAGTGTTTGGCAAAACAAATTGAAACCTGTGAGATTCATATGCTTTTCTCTTCAGAGAGATTAATTTTAGATACATATTTGTCTGCAGCTGGTTAGTTTACTTAGAACAATCTAGGTGCTAAGGAGGGTCATGGACTGTGATCTTTCTTTTCTCTGACCATGGCCAGCATCATGGTCCCTGAACAGCCATCCCCCAAACGCTTGTTGTGGGCCAAAGTTGAACATAGTTTAGTGAGTGTAACGGGATCAGCATAAGCCCATGACCACTCTTGGAAGAAGCTTTAAGTACATGCCTCTTGGGGAGGGAACTGGTAAAGTCATCTCTGTATAGGAAATTTAATTCTTTAAACATTTAAAGTATTTTAAAATTGGTCATCTTGGATTTGATCATTAAGTATGTGTGTGGAAAATGTGTCTTTGTTTCACCACTAACAAGTTGTACAAAAATGTAATACATTTGTCAACTGGCAGTTTATTCTACATAATTGAAAACATTTTCTTGTGAAATATCTGCTTTTCCATACAAGAATACATTTCGTTGACTAAAATATAGCATTTTTTATAAAGGCAGGATTTTTTTAAGCTAAAGAAAATTATTACATTGTTCAGCACACATATGCTTTTGATTATAGTATTGTCACAACACGAAAATAGTACAGAGCCTTGAAACTTCTGAACAATCTTTATCCTGGAAAATATTTCTAGATTGTAAGAATATGATTGCTAATAATTTCCATGGAAATATCTGAGACTTGATTTATATAGTGCTCTGCTTCGTGTTTTGAAGAATCACTAACATCCATGTTTTTCCACTTTGTTAATTTTATTTGTTTACCCTTTAAGATAAGACACAGTTACTTATTTTGGGTGATGAAGCAGAAAAATGTTGTATGATTTTATCTTGTGACAAACTTTTTAGAAGAATTGTATATGTAGCTGGCAGTAGTCCACAAAGGCAAGTTAGAACTGATTTAAAATACTGATACCAAATTGAGTCTTATCTCATAAAATATTTTCTACAAATTGAGGATCCTTATCCTCTCACAATGATTTTTGAGCTTTTATTCCAAATATAGGAGCCATTTTTCTTCTAATGATGAATCAAGGGATGACTAAAAAGCAGCAGTGTTCATTCATCATATTCGTTAGCTGCTCTAAGCCTTGAGTCCTCTCCTTCAGGTATTACTCAGCTCTTACAAGGCTTATAGGTGCTGAGGATTCAAATATCAGTAAGACATTCTTTATTGAGATTCTAGTGTACAGAAAGACAAATATTTAAACAACTGAATGGATGAAAGATAAATACCTGTCCCTTTCTGAGCGGGGTGGCTACTGCAGCTGAACCAATCAGTTCTCTCAATTGCAGTGACTTATCCAGACATCTTCTTTTTCACCCTTAGTTTTCCATTTGATTTTGTGTATCTGTATATTTTTAATTTTTCTAGACTACAGATAGCTCAAAATATTATGTCCAAATAACGGATGTTACATGTTTGTAGTATTCAAGAAGATCATCCTAGATTATCTGTAGGTTATTCAGCAGTTCCTTTTGGACATGAGTTGCTGGTATTTCAAAAATATGAGCATACTTTTCATTGGCCTACATCCTAAATATTTGTCTCTGTAGTATATAGAACCTTCAGACAAAAATAAACACATTTTTACAGACACTTTGGAAGGTTTCTGAATTGCTAATTAAATATTGTGAATAATTTTCAGCATCTACCTAAAGTATTGAAAATTCTTAAACATATGTATTTTATAATACAGAAATATGAAAATAAATTACAAAGAGGTAAAATAGCTCTGAAAAAAATGCCGGAAACTTTAAATATAACATTTAGTTTTGTAGAAACATGAAGTCAGGGAGACACATTACCATGTATTAGATTTGTGAAATACAGTCTTAATGATCGCTAAAGCTCTAATTCATTACTTAAAATGAAACAGTTTTGAAGAAATTCATAAACATTCATATTTTTTAAGTGACATCTCCAAGTTTGAGTGAAAACAATTAGATTATTTAGTAAAATTTAGAAGTAATATCATCTGTCTATTCCTTATCACCAAAGAATATCCCAGATTGAGCTCAGAAATAGGAATAAGTGAATTTAAGTTTGAAAGGTTTACTTTCAAAAGAATATCCTATTTTCTTTGTAGCTACTTTTGCCAGATAGTTCCAAAAGTATGTTAAATTTCTACTGTTCTAGGCATAAGTAGCGTACGTTTCCTATTGGGTGGATCTATTGAAACTGAGGACCATAATCAACCCATAGTTTTAATATCCATTTTCTAGTCTGATTGGATTAAGGTAATACTATAATACTTCAAGAAATAGACTGATAATGGGGCTGGCCTAATGGCATAGTGGTTAAGTTTGCATGCTGTGCTTCAGTAGCCTGGGTTCGCAGGTTCGGATCCTGAGCTCCGACCTAGCACCACTCATCAAGCCACGCTGTGGTGGCATCCCACATAAAATAGAGGAAGACTGGCAACAATCTTCCTTAAGCAAAAAAAGGACAAAAAAAAAAAAAACAAGAAATAGACTAATAAAAATTTCTACATTCTTGTGGTTATGTAGACAATAGTGGGTCTTTTGGAAACTGTGTTTGGAAATTGTTGAATGGGTGTGCTATGCAATTTTGATACTAGTTTGCATTAATATCACAATGAATAGCAGTTATAATTTCAATTTTGTCTGTGAAATATTCTTTTAGACATCTTTAGGATCTTTGTTTATAATGACAGAAAAAAAGAATCTTTACTGAAATAATGTTTAATTACTAAAATATTTCCTAGCTTTCAGCTTATGTGGAGAAGTTGTGGAAGCCACCTATGAATCCATTTGGTGAATTTATGGAGAAGCCCTCAAATGATGGAAGTCATTCAGAAGAACTGTTTTCCCATTTTAAAAGTAGACGAGAGAAAGAACATTTACCACAGCACGCCAGTGAAAGTCAAGTCTGCTGGTATTCTCAACAATAGCAGGGGATATCTCATTTTCTGATTTCAGAGTTTCATGTTTTGTCCATATTGTAAATTGTTTGAATCAAATACAGCATTCTTTTGAGAATATCTTCTTCAAAGCTAATAATTCATATATTTATTTAATCTGATTACAAATATACTCGCTTAGCAGAATTTGACTAGTTTTTTTGAATCTTAATGAAAGCAATTAAAAATGAAAACCTTACCTATTAAGAATTTGTAATGTATAAAGGTTTTTACGGTAAATTAAAATATAAATACTTTGGAATATTGGAAATGTAGTTAATAAGTGATAAGTCACTGTCCTTTGGTGTATTGCTGTATAACAAATACCTATCATATTTTGCTTCTTTAGTATGGAGAATAACACTTGTTATTTATATGACTCATTGCCCCCAAAAATGCCAATCTTAAAATACCATTATTGTCAGTATGGATGGTATAGTCCAGCTTCTGATTTAGCTTGTTATAAATGAAAATGATATTTTGTCATCTATAATCATTTTTGATGTTCTGCCCTTGGCTTTTAGTAATGGACTGGTGTCATTTATAGTCAATATTTTCTTAGGCCCATCACTTTAAGCCAGTGGTGTTTAAGAACCAAATCTAGTATTTGACATAACCACTCAGACGCCATCAATTGTTGATGAGCCATTATGTTCCATAAAGAAAGAAAAGAGCTGCCAATTAAAGACAAAATTATATCTCATCACTTGAAATTTTATTTATAAATCTTGAAAAAGCTCCTTCAAACATAATTACACATAGATTTTTAATCCAAATAACTCTGTACTTATATAAAAATAAAATGTGAGTGAAATAAATTAGTTAAGGTATTCTCAAAACTTCTTTATACTCAAAGTCCAACTCTTTGGAGTCATTCTTTGACTCAGAGTTGTCCTTGCTATTGAGTATTGGTGAGATGGCATTTCTCAGGAGCATCTTTAAATGAAATAAAACTTATCTATGCTGAGCTCTTAATTACAACATACAGCAAGCCTACATTGGAGTCTTGCTTCTGGAATGTTGCTAAACATTCCTACTTCACCAACTCCCTCAACCCCTCTCTAGGAGCCTTCGTTCCCAGGGCTTAGGAAGGTGCTGCTCCCTAGCCCTGGGATATCCTCCACAGCGTTGGATGCCCATTCTGTGTGTTTTGGTTTTGTGCAGGAAAGACAGGTCAGGACTGCCTCCTGACTGACAAAGATTGTAAGAAGCATCCTGATTTCAGGATGTAAAAATGTGGCCAAAAAAAAGAAATGTATCTTACAGTGTTACACAGTAGTGTCTAGGTAAAACATAATCAAGACGGCAAATACCAGTTTTGTTCTGAATGATAATGTATCCTAAAGTTGAATGTGAAGGCCTTTTAGACACCTGGAGAGCTTTAGGTTTTTTTTGTTCCATTTGTTTAGCTTATTCGTTCTTCTAGAGGAAATTTTTTTGTGAAAAACAGTTAAATTTCAAGAAAGGATTTGAGACTAGGATTTAGAAAAACAAATCTTTTCGGTTTGGAGTAAGGAAGAAGGAAGGGAAGAAAAAAATGCATATACACATTTAAACAAATCGTTTACCAACCAGACAAGGGATATTGAATAATTGTCAAATAGCACATGAAACACTGCTATTGGGTTTGTGTTTTACATATTTTAAAATTTTAAAAACTGTTTTCCCATGTATAGTAAGTGTAGAAAAAATGTGGATGTATAGAAAAAAATTCATACAGTTTCAGTGACAATTTACTGTTACATTTTGCACAACAGTTTATGGAACTATAATATTTAGTCAAAGTATGCTATAGTTGCATAAAAAGTATAACTAGTTTATATGTCAGATTTAACTTAAATTTTATTTGTGCATATGTAATTAGCCTAAAGCAGGACATCCTAAATGAAAAGACTGAATTGGAAGCAACATTTAAGGAAGCTGAGTTGGCAACCTTTTCTGTAGAATTACTTTTGCCATTATTTAAGGACACTATTGAAGAGGTGAGTTTTGAAAATGTGAGTATTTGACTTGTGAACATCTAATAAAATGAAAAGCTTTTATAATACCCGGAATGCGTTAACTGAGGTCTCATATCTTAAAGTAGTTAAGGCGGTACTGGTATTTTATACCAAAAAATGCACATTTATCACTGTTCCTTAGTTCTGTGTCATTAACTGCAATTCTTTTCCTCAAAGGTGGTCTCAGGCAGGCACCTGATAAGAGGCTGAGCTGGAAACTGTGTACCTTGGTACTTGACTTATCTGGAGTTGAACTAAGAGAGTCAACTTTTCTCGAGTGAATTTAAAACTAAAATATTCTGAGAAATGAAATTATCTATTTTCTGTAGTGTTATGCAGAATAGAAAACTGTATTCTAAAGTTTCATTGTACCAAAGTTTGAGTTGGGGACAAAAAATAGATTATTTTCTATTCGTTTTATTAAAATAAATGTCCAAAAAACATTTTAGGGTTTAAGCCCTTATTTTGATTTCATTTTACTTTAATGTGCTATGTAACAGGCCCTATTTACTATTGATAAACTTGGTAAAATTTAGTATTTGCAAAAGAATGATTTTGTTACTAGGAAAAAGTATTCTTTGATAATAATAATATTATATTTTAGAGTGTCAATGCTATGTCTTACAATGTGTATGTGGTTCTTATGTTTTGTCAGGCTAATCTTTCTGCAGCCAATTTGAAGAAGTTTTCTAAACAGAAGAAAACATTAACGAAAGAATTAGACACTTTTAAACATGCGAAACAAGCTTTAGAACATCTTAGGAAGACAGAATACCAACACATAAGGAACACTAAGCACTAATTTAATAGTGATATTTGTCACTTGGAGGGTGTATTATTTCTCAAACTATAGAAGTTAAAATACTGGTAGATTTGAAATGGAAATAATTCTTGAATTTTTGTTTGAAATGACAATCTTAAACTAATCTCTACTTTTTAAATGTTTCATAAATAGTTCTACATGAGAACAGCATTTTTTTAATAGAAAATGTATTTTTATTCTCTATCTCAAAAACTCACTGTTTGTCATACTTCATTCAGCTGATTACAGTAGAATACTCTTAGAATTTAAGCTGTTGTGTACATTGTATTTATACATTCATATATTCTTTTTTGTAACAGTTTTATTGATTATAAGCACATACTGTGCAATTCACCCATTTATAGTAGGCAATTCAGTCATTTTTAGAGTATTCATAGAATTCTGCAGCTATCACCACAATAAATTTTAGAGCATTTCCATCAGTACAAAAAGAAACACCACGCCCTTTTAGAAGTTCACCTCCGCTCCCCCACCCACCCTTCCTTTGCCCATTGTCTACTTTCTGTCTCTATGGATTTCCCTATTCTGTACATTTCATATAAATGGAATCATATAGTATGTGGTTATTCATAACTTCCTTCTTTCATTTAGCATAATGTTTTCAAGGTTCATCTGTGTTGTAGCACATAACAGTACCTCATTCCTCTTTATTACTGAACAATATTTTATTGTATGGGTATAACCGTTTATTTATCCATTCTTCAGTCGATGAACATTTCAGTTGCTTCTCCTTTTTGGCTATTATGAAAAAAGCTGCTGTGAACATTCATTTATAAGATGTATATACCCAAGAGAAATGAAAACATATATGTATGCCAAGTGATTCCACTGTGTATCCTTACAGAGTCCAAGGATGGGTTTCATGAAGTCCATGAGCCCTCTGAAATTGTGTGTACAATTTTGCATTATATGTACATGCATGTATGCTTTGGAGTGAAAGGAATTCTTAGCTTTTTCACATTCTCAAGCAGGAGTGTGACCGTCAAAATGAATAAACGTTCTTCTGTGTTCTCATTTAAAATGTCAGAATGCTGCTATTGATTTGCTGTAATTCTTTAAAAAATTTCATATTACAAAATTTAGGTTGTTTTTAATTTTTACCTATTTATAAACACTGTGAGCTTCCTTTGTATACACTATTTTTGTGATTTTTATGTCATTAGCTTGTACTTTCTGAGGCATTTTTTAGAGATTAATTTAGTAAATTAAGTAATTTCGTAAATCGTGGACAAAAAATGACTTGGAACACTTCTGCAAAAATCCTTCTGATGGTACACTTTATAAAAAATCTGAACTGTGCATAGTAGTTGTCCATATTAATTTCTTTTTTTTTAAGATTGGCACCTGAGCTAACAACTGTTGCCAATCTTCTTCTTTTTCTTTTCTTCTTCTTCTTCTCCCCAAAGCCCCCCCAGTACACAGTTGTATATTCTTGTTGTGAGTGTGCCTCTGGTTGTGCTGTGTGGGACGCCACCCCAGCATGGCCTGATGAGCAGTGCCTTGTCTGCGCCCAAGATCCGAACCAGTGAAACCCTGGGCCACCAAAGCAGAGTGTTCGAACTTAACCACTCTGCCATGGGGCCGGCCTCCATATTAATTTCTTAAGTGATGATTATTCCACTTCCTACTTTATGTAGAGAAATAAAATTTGTGAACACTGATTTGTAATATCTTTTTTTCACAGAGAGGGGACAGTTTATCCAGCATGTTAGAAAAGCTAACTGGTAATGAAAGTGAGAACACTGTAAGTCTTTTCAAACTTTGTGTCTGTTCTTCTGACATTTTTTGTTTGTATGTTGCTTGGTTTTATAAAATTAGCCAGTACATCTAAGTTTGATATTTCTAAATTTTACATTATATTTGCTGAAGGATCTTAAGAAGAAGATACTTGAAAAGGAGACCTATATCCAAGAACTTTCTTGTCTGTTTCAGAATGAAAAGGTAAGCAAGTTTTGAGCTTAATTCACCATATTTTCTTAATATTGACTCCCTTTTCACCTTCTTTCCATCCTGGCCCCCATATCCTCAGAAATAGAAACAGAAAGGTTTTTAGATTATTTGGATATTTTACAAGTTTTATGTATCAAACATCTAATTTTTTAAAGTTTTTTTTTAAGAGTTTTATGGTGTTTCACTCAGCGTACTTGGCATAGATCACTATATGTTAGGAACTGTGTAAATTTGTATCGTATTTTAATTTTAGTATAAATTGAGGAATTTCAGTGTTCGTAGGAGCATTTTAGACATACCCATAATATTACTTATGAGGATAGTGAGGGTAGATGGGACTTTTTACAAAGATAATTATCAGGAGCCATTAAATGAAAGGAGGGAGGAGAAAACATCCTGATAGTTTTATAAAAAATACATTTGTAATGGGGGGGTAGTGGTTTATATAAAGTGGTACTTCGCTTTTTATCAGCTTTTTAGTCCGTGTCTAAATATGGGTAAAGTTAAAGATTGTGGAGAAATACATGAAATAACACTTTTTTGTTTTCTCTGTTTTAGGAAAATGCTTTGAAAGCAAACCGTTTTTCACAATCAGTAAAAGTAGTGCATGAACGACTACAGCTCCAAATTCATAAAAAGGAAGCAGAGAATGATAAATTAAAAGAACACATAAAGGTTGTAAAAATCCATCCATTTTAATAGTTGAAGTGATAAAATTAATGAACAACTATAAAGCCTTTCCTTAATTCTGGAATTTGGTGGTTTTGAAAGAATTCAGTTTGAGTGTTGCCATGGGAAATACATATTTGAGGCAAATCTTAATTTTAAGATTTCTAGCCCATCTGAAGATTTGTCTCCAAATCCCAATATAAAAATGCTGTGTCTTTTTTTGTGCCAATCTAGGAAGGATTTGTAGAGCTTGAATTACTTAAAAAATCTTTCCCATTATATCGTTAGTTTATGTTTATTGTGGAAAATTTGTAAAATATAAAAGAGAAAATTAAAATAAAAACACCGAAACCATTGTTAACATTTTGGTAGATAGTATTCCAGTCTTTTTTTTTTACATTTATACATACATATAAGTACTCTCACACATATTTAGTAAGCAGTCAATAAATGTTTATTATTTTTGTGTTTGGTACTAATGGTAACAACTTTAAAATCGGTTAACCTAGGGTTTTAGGTTAGTGTTTAGATAATCGAGTAATCTCTTTGTTATACAGTTTTTTAGCAGTATAATTAAGAGGAATTTTTTGATTTAAATTGAATGGTTTAAATATTCTTTTGGAAGTCTCACAGTCACTTTGGGAAAAGAATTTGAGGATGCTATGATATGACATAGGCTAATTGGACCCACTGTCATTTTTGCCAAAGGAAAAGAAGCATCGTTCCCATCTTTAGAAGATAAGTGTACAAAGACAAACCCCACTGTGTGTGAGGACTTCTGTGCTAAATTCTGTTTGCTTTTACACTCCTGGGTCATAGCAGATGTCTGCAACCTGCGGCACATGTTTCAAGACTGCACTTGGGGTGTTTTTTTTTTTCCCTTCAGTGACAAGAAACCCATCAAAGGGACGTTAAGCAGGCTTATGAGGGGGTGTAAATTTTGTCCTGTGTCCTCAACATGTGCTTCTAAGCACTTTCCCCCAGAGATTCCCTGTGTCCTTTGCATAGGTGTCCTGGGGCACAGCAGATAAACCAGAGTTGGTACTGCATTGCTCTGTTCTGTTAAAAGCAGGAGAATTCATGTGATTTAACATCTCAGATAATCATCTACTTACACAAGTACATCTTACTTACACAATTTTTAGTTATATCCTCAAACAGCAGTTAGGGAAGTTTTTGAAATGAGTCTCCTCAATTTAAAAATGAAATATTAAATGATTTTTTAAAATTAAGTTTAACAGTTACTTTCTATATCCATGATAATTTGGAGAAAGAATATAAGGCTAAAATCCTAGGATTTTGTGATGACATTCTCCTGTCTACTACTTTGAGTTGACATTCCTTTACAAAAATTCAACTGTTTATAAACGATTAAAAGAATTTGCATTAGGTTACTGATATTTTTCTACATTCCCTCTAACATACACCCTTTGGAATTTAAGGCATTAAGTAATTGGGGGTCAGAATTTAGTTCTTTGATTTAGGTTTAACAAGTTATTTTTTAGAGTACAAACACAGTGAACTCAGTTTGGCAACATAAATCCAGTTTTTTAATATTGTTGAGTCAGTGCATTATATTGGGTCTTGTAAAAATTTAAATTACATTAGGATTCTCTGAGAACTATCCCCAAGATACTTTGAACCACTTTTTCTCTCTTTATAATATATTCTCTCTTTATAATATAGCAATCATAATTAGAATATTTTCACATTTTAGAAGATATAGAGAATACTTATCTTCTAACATGCAGCGTATATAGTTCTTTGTAAATAGGAAAAGGCAAATAGTTGACTTTAAATAGGTGCCCATTCATTTGGCAAATGACTGTGAGGGATTAATTATTTTGAAACTTTAAAAATAATTTGATAGTTTCAGTACACTCCCTAATAGTCCTAAAGTGTGGGATTTGATAAATCTAGTGAGAAAGTGTTACTAGAACCTTGTTCAGAAAAATTTACTTCACCTTTGGTGTTTAAAAAGGTTTTTTTAAGGTGTAGCAGTCATTCACTGTGTGATGGTGACACCCTGTGGTTGTGTGGAGGAATGACAGCTGTATTTCCTGTGGGTCTTCATTTCTCTTAAGTAGGATTACTGTACTGCTCTTATTTGGTTTTGCCCAACTACTTATTAAAGTGTTTCCTGGGATATTTTTAGTTAGGATAGGTTTTTAAAGACAATTTAAGAATGTTTTGCTTCTTTTCCTAGTCTACCTAATCACTTTTCAAAGAGATCAAGTCTTTAAATCTTATTTAAGATGTACTTCTTAATCTCAATTTTAGTGGAAGTTAAGTTGCATAGTTTTTGTTCATCATAGAATTAAGCAGAAAAGCGCCCTATCTTTTACTGTGACTTCTTTGACTTTTTTCTTAATTAAAATGGTTGTTCAGTGAATGGGAGACTAAAACCTAAATTCTGTAGTAATTTTACGTTCTTTTCAGTATATACACAACTTTCAAAAAAATGTAAAAGCATTAAAATCTTAAATCTTTAAGTTCTTAGATACTTAATAGTCAAATATTTTAATTACAAAGTCTTAAAATAATTTGAAATAAAAACATGAGAGTTATCACACTAAATCATGTCTGTCATCTACCCATCCTAATATTCTGTCTCTCGTTATGTCACCAAGAGACAAGTCAAGGAAACAGTCATGCCAATGAACACCATGAAACACAGTGGATAGAAATATGCCCTCAAACATCTTTTTACCCTTACTCACTCTTATGGATCAGGGAGTCATTCATTTATCTAAACCTGTTTGGTCTTAGAATAACAACTTCTACAAACTTACTACTCATTGGGTAAATCAGTGTTTTTAATTTTATTTTTAATTTTATTTTTTTGAGGAAGATTAGCCCTGAGCTAACATCTGTGCCTATCTTTCTCTACTTTATATGTGGGACGCCTGCCACAGCATGGCTTGACAAGCCGTGCACACATCCGCATCCAGGGTCCGAACCAGCAAACCCTGGGCTGCAGAAGCAGAGCGTGCAAACTTAACCGCTGCGCCACCGGGCCAGCCCCTAAAGCAGTATTTTTATTGTCCTTGATGTAACTCTTTCAAGTGTCAAGGCATGTCTCTTAATTCTAGTAAATTAAAATTTGGTAAATAAGTCTATGTTTCTCTCATCTATACCCTTCATGATCTATACTTTTATGATACCTCCTTTAAGCCTTTATCATTCAAACTAGAGTCCTAATATTTTTGAGATGCAGCCGACTCCTTTGAGCTTTGTGTACCTGTTTGAATTGTCTGGCTAAGTTATGGTTTTTTGATTTGCAATACTAGTACTATATAATATTCTAGATCTGAAATTTGTGTAAGTCCTAGTTAATCACAAAAGTTTTAGGGAAGTTAGTGTTTGTACCATAATCACCAACATCTATAATACAAGTAGCATTAGTTTTATGTAGGCTTATATATTTTAAATCTGCGTTCTATAACTGGTTACAGATAAACAATGGTGAAATCATCTGTCATCACTGTTTTGCTTTTTAGTAATCTTATGATTACTCCTTTTGATAAAATCTGTGTTAAACCTTATTTACATATCTTTACAATGTTTACATAAACATTGGAGTTCTAAAATAATTTAATTGCTGCCGGTATTTTTTTAGAGCTTAGAAACCAAGATAGCTGAATGGAACTTGCAATTGAGAAAAAGTAAGCATGAGACTGTAGCAATGAAAGATTCAAGTAAGCAAAAAGCAGTAGCTCTAAAAAGAGCATCTAAAATTTACAAACAAAGGCTTGACCATTTTACTGGAGACATTGAAAACCTTACTTCCCAGATTAGAGATCAGGTAAGTATATACTTTCTTTCTTAAATGACTGTTTTATGTATTTACTTTGTGTAGTTTATGTCATGATGCTTAATGTAATAGTTTTATTCTTCTCTTAATACTATTAATACTAGAAAAACTTTACTCATACTTTTTTGTTTTAGTCTTTATTTTGAAAGATTACATAAAATGTCAAATTTGCATATTGAATTTTATCAACATTTCCTTGGGAACTTTACTTAAAGGTTATGTGAAGTGTGTCACAAACCTTCTGTGGCCAACTAAAGGTAACAGTGTATACAGATTCCCCTTGGAAGTTTACAGTGTGCATTAGCATGTGAAGGGCCCTGAGGAGGCCTTCAGTAGAGCAGTGTAATGAAGGGTATTGAACTCGGAGTTTCCCACCACTTATTTAACCACAGAACTCTTCTTTCACCCACAAAGCAACTCTTGGAACTGGTTCTGAGCAACACTGAAATGCTGATTTATGTTATTGGGTCATATGCCTTCATTCAGTAACTCATTTCATTAAACTCTGTAACGCATTTAAAACCATACGATGACGTAAACACACCATGTGAAAGTTATCTTTTGAGTGTAATACAAAGTTGGAAAATGGACTTAGTGCTTTGTTGTTGTTGACAAATTATTATATTTATTCAATTAGCAATTAGTAAAATATTTACTGTTTTTAATGTCTCATTGGTATCCCATCTCTTAAGAACCAGTGTTCAGGCTTATAGAATTATTAGAGGCTTTTAGAAGTGAAAACAGACTTGCATAAACACTTGTGTAAACAAAACAACTTAATATTTTATAAGCTCCTGTTAAGATTTTAAGGCCTTAATATTTAACCTACGTTCAGGAGAATTTAACTAGATAAAAGAATTGAAGACTAAGTTCAAAATCTAGAAGGTTGTGTACCTCGGTTATAGAACTACGCCTGAAAATAGTCTTGAGTGGTAAAAACTAATCGAGTCAGCATTCTTGGGATTTTCCTCTTTAAATAGTGTCATGTCATCCATGCCCCAGATCATGGTCTGGGAAGGCTCCTCCACTTGTTTACCTCGTGACGTTGGGTAAGGTACTTAACCTCTCTAAGTGTCAGTTTCCTTGTCTAATAATAGGTGATAATAATACTGTCTATCTTATATGACTGTAGGCAGGAATAATTAAGAAAATATATGTCAAAGCACAGTGCCTGGCCATTCCACATTTTTCCTATATTGGCCTCCTTTCTATTCCTCTAATCCATGGAGTTTGTTTTCATTGTTTTATTTGCTCTTGCCTCTGACTGTGATGTTCTTCTCAGCTCACAATAGCTGGTTCTTTTTTAAATCATTCAGTTGTCTTTTTAATTGATACCTCTTCCTAGTGGCCTTCCTTGACCAGTCCTTTTGAAGTAGTCCCACAACAATTAATTATATCAGTGTATCAAGTTTTCTTCATAGCATCCACTTTATAGGTAAAATTTATTTTCTTCCTCTTTTTCTCTAATTTTATTGAGATATTCATAAAATTTCTAAATATCTTAATTTATATTAGAATTGCACAACTTACACTTCATAGTGTATATTAGAATTCATGTACATAAAATATGAAAACAGAATACTAGTCTTCGATATATCAAAAATGTTACTGTGGAAAAAATGTAAACAGAAGATGTCTTGCACATAGTAATACTCAATAAATACTTGATCAGTGAGTGTCTGAATGATGAAGGAAAGAAGGAGGCACCCAATGAGTGTTAAGTGTTGTCATTACTACTTCTGGGTCTTCTGGTTAGTGATTATGGGCACTGTTGCCATTCCAGTGAGTCTAATTTTTGGTAGAATGTAGATAGGGGACATAATGGCCACAGCTCACCAGGTGGATTTGCAAAGAGTAGATTCATTTCACAATTAGTTATTTATTGAGTGTCTGCTTTATGCCAGGCATTATTCAAGGCCCTAGTAATGAACAAACCAGATAAAAATCTCTGCCTCTTGGAGCTCACATTCAAAGTGGATAAGCAACCACTACCACTTTCATCTCTTTGCTGACAGAAACAGTGTTTGAAGGCCGACAGGGTGACCTCTACAAAACAGGTTGACATCATTAAAACAAAGATAAATAAGGCTGTATTATTAAATGCTGTGGAATTGTGGAATTGCAGGTGGCTTCTATGTATGCCATAGAGGGCTTCTTTCTCCTCTGATGCTTATGTCGTTGCTAGCATCTTCTATATAGAGAATGCAAAATGAAAAGTTCAGTAAATAGAAAGGGAATTATCTTCATTAATTATGAAACATTGTTTGAAAATAGTTACTTCAACATCCTTAACATGTTAAGTTGGAACTGCCACTATGTGCCTATAAAATGAGTAATATAAATATGTTGTTATTAAAGTTTGCTTTAAAACTTCCATATATTCAGAACTGTACACTGAAGTTTTCTTTAACAAAAGTTCCATACTTTGTAGGATGAGTGTTTCCTTGTTTATATTGTATTTGTGTTTAGGGCCCTGAACAAAGCCGAAGTGTTACTCAATTATAAGATGAGTACTTGATGTATTTTTTAGGAAGCCAAGTTGTCTGAAACAATCTCAGCTTCCAATGCCTGGAAAAGTCATTATGAGAAAATTGTAGTAGAAAAAACTGAATTGGAAGTTCAGATCGAAACAGTGAAAAAGTAAGAAAAAAATTTAAAGTCCTTTTACTGTTTACTAAGAAGTGTTTTCAGTTCTTTCCTCTTCGAGTGGTTTGTATTTTGGTTCTTCCGATTACATGTGGTAAAGGTATTGTCTATATGATTTGACATTTTTAATTCTATAAACTTTTCTTACTCTAAAAATACAATAAAAATGATTACCAGTTGAAAGTACTCACATTCTGAAATTTTGGACTTTTAGGTTAGTATTTGGTATGAGTATGTGTCATCTATTTACAGTAAATGTTAATAATAACTTTGTCTTAAAATGGAAGTGATATTTCTCTACTGAACAAGAATGTCTAAGTAAGAATATATAACATAGTTTAGAATAAAAGCGTAAATGTTTTCAAAATCCTTAAAGTTATTGTTCCTTAAAGTGCCTTAAATACATAACAAAGAAAATCAATGAGTAAAAATACATATACTTTACACTTTGAAATTTATTAATAATAAGCTAATAATAATGAAACCTGAATATTTGCTTTTAAATGTTTTATCTTCTGTATATTCTCTTCAGTTTTATTATTGAAAACTAGCATATACAATTTGCTTCTAAGATTAGTTATTGTCTCACTTGATCCTTTTATTTAACCTTGTTCCTGAAATTGTGCATATGTTTGTGCACATGTGTGAATGAGAGACAGACAGACATCCCTGTGGATGAGAGACAGACAGACAGACATACCTGTGGATGAGTTTAGATGTTTTATTGAATAGCAAAGAGAATGCTGTGTAAATTTTCATTGGCATCATCAATGAGTAATTATTTCTAATCAAAGTTACTCAAGTAACCGTATAGATTACTGCTTCCTATTTCACTTGTTCTATGAGTTCTATTAACTTTTGAAACAGTGCACCCTAACAAAATAATTTCAGAAACACACTTAAAATGTGTAAGTTGAATGAAAACTTCTATGACTTTTATAAAATATATCGTTTCTTTTATAAAGGCAAATCAGTACTCTTTTGGAAGACCTGAAGAAAATGGAAGACGATGGAAAAAATTCATGTGAAGAAATTCTTAGAAAACTTCAATCAATTGAAGATGAAAATGAAACTCTGAATCTTGAGAATACAAAATTAAAAGTACTTTGTGTCTGCATGTGTGTGCATGATTGTGTAATGACAACCTAGTCTACTTAGTAAAAGTAGCTTCAAATAACAGCATGTTTAGAAAAGTGCTCTTATATCATTTTGTCTTTTATGTTTCTCAGAGTATTAGAGTATCATTATAACAGGTAACTTCTAAAACTTTATATGTACATGCCTGTGTATGCACATGAATACACACATTTGTAACTAGATTTTTAAATGTTTATAGTTGTATACACAGATACATTTTCAAATTACTTTCAGCAGCATTAAGTAAGATTTATGAAGTTGAACAACTGTACCTCAATGCAAAAAAAATTATTGACTCCAATTTTAGCAGTTAAGTGAATCATCCACAGTTACATTAACTTTAATGCATGAGATTATTTCTAGGTGTCATCGTTACGATAGAATATAACCTCAGGCCTGATCTGTTTGAAACCAGAAAGTATGTTCTTGGCTGCTTCATAACCAGAAAGAATTTTCCAATTTAACCAAATCCAAGGGGTGATTGGTTTGTATGTGTACCAGAGAAAAGATGGGGGAGAAACTTTCATACTTTCTGAGAAAAAAGATAAATTTGAGTTTTCAAGCAGAGATACAAGTAACCAGGTGAGACTTTACTAAAGTCTCATGGCATCATTTTCAGTTCCATAATACTCTTTTTGGCAGATAGTAAATAGAAGGCGGAAAAGAATCTGTTTATGTAAAAGATGGCCAGAGTTGACAGTTCAAAGCCGATAGGGCATCACAGAACCTAGCCTCTTTTTACCTCTCTACTCTGCCGTTCCTAGGTTGTGACCCCCATCCTCATGATCCAAAATGGCTGCTGGAGCTCTCGCCAATAATAGTCAAGTTTCAAGCAACAAGATGGAGGGGAAAAAAGATGGATTATCTCCCTCTTTTTTTCCATCTCCTCTCTTTTAGGGAAACTTCTGAAAATTCCATACCACTCGATTCTTCTACTTGTTAGGCATGTGGCCCCACCTTGCTGCAAGGGAGACTAGGGAATATAGTCTTCTAGTTATCCTGAGCTCTAGCCAAATATGAGTGTTCATTATTTCCTGCATTTTGTTCATGTTTTCCTCTATCTATTCCTATAATTTTACTATTCTTACGGTGTAGAATGCTATTTTTCTCAGTATCTAAATCCTTTTTCTTTAAAGTTCAGCTCAAATCCTGCTTCCCCACAAAGTCTTCTCAAATAGGGTGAGTCTCTCCTTATAAACTCCCATCTTTGTAGGCACAGGATGCCAGGGAAGGTGTGACATACATTTAGCTCTCAATGAATATTTATTGACTGAATCCTTAAAATGTTTTATCCAGGAAGAGGAAGCAATTTTATTTATTATGTTTATTTTCTTAATTTCCTTGATATCCTTCAAAGAGAAAAGATTAGAAGGATATCTTATTAATTATAAGTCTAGTTTTTAATCACATGATAATGGAATTATTTTAAATCACATAGATATAAAAATCATTGAGTTAAAGTTTACATCTTATCATGTTGTATTAATTCAGAAACATGTATTTTTACTACATTATTCTATGGATTTTGTTTAAGGAAAAAATCCAGATATGTTTGGCATATGTTATTTACAATGTAAAATTGCCTAGATGGTCTAATTTGTTACTTTTAATTACTTTAGATTAATTTTAGATTTTAAAGTTACAGATGAAAAACTAGCTGATATTGCTTCCAAGGCCCAGTGACCTCCTTTATTAAAACAAAAAAAGTTTATTTGGAGGGTTATAAGGTTCTATTTGTTGATTATAGAAAGTTGGAGAAACAGAAAATCACAAAGGAAAAGTAAAAAATCACCTGTAACTTCACAACTGAAAGATAACTAAAGTGACTATTTTAGCATATATATAACTTTTGGGATTTTGGACTACTTCCAATTTTTGCTAATAAAGAAAAATGTGGATAGTTTCTTTGAGTCTTCTTGCATATCTGAGGATAAACTTCTAGAAGTAGAATTATATGGTCAAAAAGGAGACCCATTCTTAATGTTGCTGGTATATATTTCCAAATTACCTATCATAAATGGGTCCCTATACTTTTTCCCATACTAGGCAATTTTGAAACAAATCTCTCCACATTTGATAGTTGACCTCATCTAATGTTGGGCTTTAAATACCATCTGTACCCTGTGGGCTCTCAAATTTCTGTCTCTTAGCCTAGACGTTGCCCCTGAATTCCAGACATATATTTTACTGCCTACTTGGATATTTAATAGGTGTCTCAAAGTTACCATGTCCAAAATAGAGCTCCTGTATGCCCCCAAATGGTTCATCCTACAGTTTCCTCATCTCAGTTAATGGCAGTCATCCTTTCTATTACTTGATGTCATCTTTCACTCCTTTCTCTTACACCCTCTTCCAGTCTGTCAGCAAATCGCCTTCAAATATATCCAGAAGTTGACCACCTCTCTCCAGGACCACTGCCATTACGTTACCCTGGTTCAAGCCACCATCTCTCGTCGTCACAGTGACCTTTTAACTCTTCCCTTTGCTTCTGCCCTTGCCCCTGCAGTTAGCGTTCAGTGTAGCACCAGAGTAGTTCCTATAAAAATGTAAGTCAGACGTGTCACTGCTCTGCTCAACCCCCCAGTGATATCTTGGTTAATAGAGTAAACATCTCCAAGGCATTGCACCATCTGGCTTTCCTTTTCCTCTCTGACCTCACCTTGCGCTCTCCCCTTTCTTTTCTCCCTTCTGCCACACAGGCCTTCTTGCTGTTTTCTCCTAATGGCTGGGCCTTCCCCACCATTGCCTTTGTCTACAGGAATTCTCTCCTCTCAAAGAGCCATGCTTCCTTTCGCTGTTTGCTCCAAAGTCTCTTTCTCAGGAGGCCTCCCTGGCCCAGCCCCAGCTTGTCAGTCCTAGCCTGCTTTCATGTATGATATATTTTATTTCTTATTCTTGTTTTTTGTCCATCTATCCCTTGTTTTTTCTGTTTATGCATGAAGTATGTAAGCTCCATGAAGGAAGGAATTTTTGCTCTTTTCTCACTACTAGAAAATATCCAGTGCCTAGAGCATTTTTTAATAACTAGTAAACATATTTCTTTATGTATTCATTGATCCTTTACATTTCTGCCTTTTTTAATTACTTACTAATTATCTTTTGTATGTCTTTTTTCTTAATATATAAGAACTTGCTGTATATTATATTTTGTCATAATTTGTTACTTTTTTCACATTTTGATTGCTTCAGACTTTCTGAGGGGGCTATGAAATTTTGGACATATTTTTTTTCTTTTATGGCATCTGTTGGGAGTCTCTCACATTTTTGCACATCTTGCAAGCAGAGGCACTGACTGCCTATAAGCCAGACTGTCTTTTCAAGGGTGTTTCTATAATGAACATCCTTGGAAGGTAGCAATGCTTCATTCTATTGCAGGATAGGTGTGCTTTACTGGCTGTTTTAAGAGATCTGGGTTCCCTAAACTCAGGGTTGCTCCTCTGTAATCTATCTGACTGCATGTACAGGTATCATCTGGCCCTCTTTGTGTTGCCCTGTGGGAACTGGGGCTTAGGAGACTAACACACATTCTGACATCTGGCTACTGCTATTGCAGTGAGTAATAAAGTCCTGTGTCTCTGACCCAGAAGTCTCATATCTTCTGCTAGCATCCAAGAAACTGTGCTAGGCTAACTTATAAACTTGGAGGGTAAAATCTCAGACACGTACAGTTCTTGGTATCTTCTTTTGGCTTTATGCCTAATAGGGTTTTTGCTATCCTAAACTCAAATAAAATTTTACCTGGATCTTCTGTGAAAATTTTTAAAGCTTTATTTTTTATATTTAACAAATATAAAAAACTAATGTTGGGTAGAGGCAAATCTATTTTTTGCCTAGTAAACAGTTATCTTATTACCATTATTTACTGATCCATATTCTCCCCATTGATTTAAAAATCCAACCCTTGTCATATACTAAATATAATTTTAGTGTGTGTATTTTTCTGTTCCATCGATCTCTGTATTCTTATTTAGTATTTTAATAATTTTAGTTCTTTATACATTTTAATATATAATACATACTGAGATTCTCCATTTAGTATTCTTTTCAAATTTTTATTAATCTTTTCTATTTATTTTTCCATATGAATTTTAAATTAATTTTGTCATATTCCCTCTTCCTCCAACTGTTATCTTTTGGTTGAAATTGCATTAAAGTTTTATTGATTTGGAAAAAAATCTTATCTGTCAATAGTATTGAGTCTTCCCATCCAGAAACATGGTCTTCCTATTTTCCAAGTCTTTTTTCTTTTCTTTTTTTTTTTTTGGTGAGGAAGATCATCCCTGAGCTAACATCCATGCCAGTCTTCCTCTATTTTGTGTGGGGGATGCCACCACAGCATGGCTTGATAAGCAGTGTGTAGGTCCATGCCTGGGATCAGAACCCACAGACCCTGGGCCGCTGGAGCAGAGTGCACAAACTTAACCACTACACCACCGGGCCAGCCCCCCAACTCTTTTTTTGTCAGTAAATTTTAAAAGTTTCAAAAACACATTTCTTGAATAATTCTTATTAACGTTGTTCATAGGTATTACTTTTTGAAATTCTTTTTTTAGATTAGTAATTGTATACAGTCAAAAAAAGTATTTTATGATTTTGTTGATAAATGAGTTATGTTTTCATAATCCTATAGCATGAAGTACAAATGAGTTCTAATGATTTATAAAATCTATTTATATATTCTTTGCTAGACTACACTTGCTGCTTTGAAGGACGAGATCGTTTCTGTTGAAAATGAACTCGTAGAATTGCAAGAAGTAGAAAAACAACAGAAAACTCTTATTGAAGTGTATAAAACTCAGGTGACCATTGCATTTATTTTAACGTTTGTTAAATTTGGTAGACAATTTAAAATACCACATTTGTTTATGATCTAAATAAACAGAAATAAAGAAAAGTACAGCTATTATTTTGTGATAGACTATGATATGTCCCAAATATTTCTTAATGTTCCAAATACTTTTATAAATAGATGATTCTGCTGATCCTTGATTCAAACATTGTCTGTGTATGTATTGGATATTCCTAAAAGTAGATCTAAAATTAATTATATAGGTGAAATGTAAACCTTATGCATAATCTCATTAATCTTGGTTAAAGTTGTTATCTTCTATATTTCATGGTATTGTTTTGGAACAGTGACTCCCTTCTAGGGTCATTAAAGCCCCATATGCCCTATTTCCCAATAAATAAGGAAAGTATAATTCAGATTTACTCACATGAAAGACCTGAAAAAGAACATATGACAATACAGATGGAATAGAACATGTGTTCAATGTTAATTTATAGAAAAGCTTATATTTTGGAAATATAGTGTTCAAGAAAAACTTCATGAAAGATGAGACTCTTGCAGGTCCTTGAATGATGGGTAACAAACTAGTCAATAAAGAGCTAGTCAATAAACTAGTCAATAAATAAAACTTTATTGGGAGAGAGTGTTTGAATTACAGAATAATGAACTAAAGGTAAAAACATAAGGTGGGCATAGTGTAGATAAATAGGAAGGGGCTGCATCTGGATGGTTTAGATGGGAAAATGGAGTTGAGACCTCCAGTTGGAATATTGCAGTCATCGGGAGGTAAGAATGGAGACTGCGGTGGACTGTGGGACGTGTTAACAAGAACGTTATCTGGGTGTTCCAGCTGGTCGTTTGGGTTTAATCCTTTGGCAAGAATTCTGTGGATGAGTTACCATATTATAGGCTCTGGGCCTTGTATAAAGTGCTCTGTCAGATATTTTTTGAGCAGATTTTGATATGGAAGATAAAATAATTGCTATAGGAGCTAGTTTGGTATGGGAGTCTGGTTCTTTAAAGTGACATTGACCTGCAAATGAAGATCTCTAATATTCAGAGTTCCAGTGAAGAGTCTAGAAGTATTGATGGGAAAAGACAGGTTAATCATAAAAGGATTGTGGATTAGCATAGAGCATTGAGTGATTCCCATATTTAAAGAAGGGATAACGTTAGATAAACATAAGGAAGGTATTGATAGAGAACTAATTATTTGTTTAAAATTGAAAATTCAAATTTTTGGCTTTTTATTTCGTTATGGTCCTAATAATGAAATAATACATCTTACTCTAATAATATATTTTATTTTCAGATACAAAAGTTGCAAGAAGCAGCTGAAATGGTGAAAAGCAGATGTGAAAATTTACTACATGAAAATAAGCTAATAACAAAAAACAAAAGTAAAAAATTAGAGAAGGTGAGTTTGACGTTTAAATAATAGTATTTTGTTTGAGTTTGACGTTTAAATAATAGTATTTTGTTTATATGTTTTGTATTTTATGCATATTACACAAATTCTTTCATTTTTGTCAGTTTATCTCATTTAGAACTAGGAATTATCTGTTGTCAATCTCTGTAGGAGTTTGTTTTCTGAGGAAATAATGTTTCTTCCAGGCTTGAAATGTTGTTTGTTTGTGTGAATGTTTTTTACTTTTTTTCTTAATATTTGGAAAATAGCATAAATGTTTAATTTTTCTGATACAAGAGCAGACTTAAATAACCATAAGTATGCAAACTTGAGTACCTGTCATTTTTAATCTCACCTTTTTTCCTAGTAGTAAATCTTTTGTGTCTAATAAACCAAGTATTCTCTGCTAAATGTTTTTGTGGAAGAAAAATAGCATCATTTAAAAAAACCCAGTATCGTTTCCTTTTTTCACCCTATTGCAACAGAATGAGGGGAAGGCCAGTATTGGCAGGTTATGATGTTTTTGTGAATATTTTTAAGTTTTTAAATGAAACCGTATCCTTTTTTGGGTCTTTTCATGTTTTGGTAAGGAAGCAGTGAAAGTCGTCGGATGCTAACTCCCGGCCGGAGAGGTCATGGGATGTCACTGGACAGTTCTGACTGAGTGTAATGAGGTGGCTGTCTCTGGGTTGTCCTCGTGTCTTGGGGTTAAGAAGTCAAAGTGAGGCACCAGCGAAGAAGAGATCGGCGGGAGCAGGCGTTCTGCTGGTTAAACAAAGCTAAAGAGCCCATCAAACATGCAACTTACTGCTTTCTGAGAATTTCTCTTCACCTCTTCTTAGCAGACCAGAGGAGACATCATTTCATGCCTCTTGATCCCTTTTTCTCAGAAGACATACCAGTGCAAATGTCCCTTTTCTGCTAGGCAGCACTGTAAATAAAAGCCTATTAAGAGACCTGTTGAAAGCAGATGGGGCAGGAGCCTGTGTTTTTTAAATACTTTGAGGTCACAATATTTTCTTACTGATTTTAAACCAGAAAGGTCATTTTTTAAAATGAAGCCTTCCTCTCCTTTTTCTGCTCCTTTAAGTCCTGGTTTTCTCGCAGGTTCTTAGGTGCTGGGAGACTCAGAGGGATGCTTTGTCCTAGTTGTGTCTTTGGGATCAAGAATGCCAGATGTTGCACAGTAGCTCTAGGTGTTAGAGTCTAGCTCTCGTTTTTCCTCTCCATGAGCATCCTGAATGCCATATGTCTGGTAATTTTTTAATTAACAGCACAAGCATTTCTTAGTGTTGTTTCTTGTCACATCTCCACAAAAGTGCCACGTTGAGAAACTGCAGCAACCAAAGAGATTAATATAGATAAAATTGAGAGATTTGTTCATAGTAACATTAATGATCAAATTACATCTATTGATGCCTGATGATATTAGCCGTCTTGAAATAATATACAGTAAACCCCACTGATTTGGTCTAAGATGAGTGTAGCAAGGCTACTGTAATTGAAATACCTGAGTTACAAGGTTGAATGATAAAAAGGGACAATTACTTTAGAATGATGGCTGGACAGTAGAAAACTGCCATACCGGCTTTATTAGTAACATCTATGCTTGAATATAAAAGACAGGATTCAAAAAGTTTGCTTTCCTGGGGCCGGCCCAGTGGCATAATGATTAAGTTCGTGCTCTCTGCTCCAGTGACCTAGCGTTCACTGGTTCGGATCCTGGGCGTTGACCTGTGCACAGCTCATTGAGCCAGGCTTTGACAGGTGTCGCACATATAAAATAGAGGAAGATGGGCACAGATGTTAGTTCAGGGCCACTCTTCCTCAGCAAAAAAAGGAGGATTGGCAGCGGATGTTAGCTCAGGGCTAATCTTCCTCAAAAAAAGAAGAAAAAAAGTTTGCTTTCCTCAGTAGGTTAAACATTCTCCCTGCAAGCTAATATTACTATATTCATTTGCTTAACACACTTTTTGAAAACTGAAGTTCACCCCACTTTTGAGTTATATGTTCTTATTTAGCAGAGTCTAATTTAATGTTTATTCATATTTATTTAGTTGAATCTTTTTGTTTAAAAACATTATACCTAAAATACTTATTATATTACAGTCATATCTAGTGTTTAAGATAGTAGAAATGTTAATGCTGACTGTGTGATCTTGCACTTGTTTCCTTAATGCCACAACTCAGATGAGAGGCCAGATGGAGTCTCATCTGAAGGAGTTAGAGTGCATCCGCGATTCCTTGACGACGGCGGAGCAGAGGCTTCGGGAGTGTCAGGAGAGTCTGCAGCACTACCAGGGGAGATGTGCAGACCAGGCCCACACCGTTAGGGAGCTGCAGGGCCAGGTGTCCAGCTGTCGTTCTGATTTTTGCTAGAGGTGGTAAAGAAATGTTTAGGAATGATTTCACCAGTTGAGGGCACTCATGTCAGGGGTTGATTTTTTTACTCTCATCTAAATCAGTTGATAAAATAGCAGTTTCATGCAGATACTATAATAATATTTTGCAATCTAGTATTTTATGGTGAAAAACTGGTAAATAAAATCGCTGGTTTAGTTTCTCCATACAAATCTATATTTAGAGACTTGAGGACAGGGCAATAGCATGAAAGAAGTGATACTGTGTTTACATATGTATTTTTTTATGTCAAGATAAGGTAAATTAATATAATTTACCTTACAAAAATTAGAATTTATTTTGATTAGAATTGTGCCATCAAGTTTATTTGGATTATTATTTGAACAAAAATTACGTTTTTCAACATAACACTTTTTTACTTCATCAAAATAGGGATCCTGGGTGCCCTGTTAGTCACCACATAGCCATCTCCTAATTCAATGCCTAGCACATAGTAAGCACTGAATAAGTACTTTTTTAGTTAATTACTTTTTCCCAAAGAAGCGCGCCCAAGGATGGTAGTCAGTCTTTTTGTTCATTTACAAAACAATTTAAGGACTGATTCCGTGTCGCTTACAAAACATACTCTGGATTTTAATTTGGAATTATATCCTGTTTTTAAAAACATGGAAATAAAATTTTACTGAATTTAAATTCCTGATAAGAGATTTTTCTAGGAAAATGTCAAATTACATAGATAACCTAAATTACTAATTGAAATTATGAGAAAAAATTTTTTTATTTTCAAAGATGTTTAAAAACTATTTATGTATAGCTTTTGAAGCAATGGGAAGAATATTGTCTCAGTATGGACAAGTGTGTCTTTGGTTGATTTACTTGTTTATTTTATTTTGCTTCTCACAAATATGGTTTTTACTCATAGTTACAACTTCACCGATATTCAATTATCAATCCCTATCTTTAGGTGAAACGGAAAACTATAAGAGAAACCCTAATAAGTATCTAACAATAGGAGATTAATATTGTTTAAAACCTTCACATTGACTTACTAAATCCCCTTTTTCAATAAAACATTGTTCAGAATGTTTTAATTGCCATCTTTCGTCTTTCAAAAAAAATTTTAGTAGATGATTTTCCATGAGGCAACATAGTTTTTTCAACTTAACCAAGAATTTAAGAACTTATGCCTTAACAATGTAATATTTCTTGGTGTCTCTCTGTGTAGGAGTAATAATAATAATATTTATATTCTCTTGTTTTTTAACAACATATATAGATTTCTTTGAAAGTTGATTATAAAGAAAACAACCAAGGAAACTTTTTTTTTCTCTTTTAGGTTGATGGAAATCACAATCTTCTGACAAAGCTTTCTCTGGAAGAGGAAAATTATCTTATTCAGTTGAAGTGTGAAAATCTTAAACAGTAAGTATTAAAGTGACTTAAAATTGGTGTTACACTTTTCTCTATATGCACAATAATTTTAAAATATATGTTTTTTGTGAAAAGAAAATTAGAACAGATGGATGCGGAAAATAAAGAGCTTGAAAAGAAGCTGGCAAACCAAGAAGAATGTCTAAAGCAAAGCAATCTTAAGTTTAAAGAGAAATCTGCAGAATATACAGCATTGGCCAGACAGCTGGAAGCTGCTTTAGAAGAAGGAAGACAAAAGGTACAGATGGCCTTTATTTAGAAACTTTTTAATTAGTTTACCAAAGAGTCATCTTTTTAAACAGACAGTATCTCATCTTGCGAAACCTATAGTTATTGTTTTTATCCTGATGACAGGGTGAAGGGAGCAATTACATTTTTGTTTTTTTACCTACTTTTCCCTTTTGGAGCTAAATAGATATATTACTGGTCCAGAGTTACTTCACCAGATAAATGATGATGTGTCAGGGTAAAGGGCAGAGATGGAAAACACTTTAAAGGAGTTCCCCCCTCTTTTATAAAAACAAAGTGAATGTGCAAGTTATTGAACCTTTTGGCTTTGATCAGGATCTGGTGAGCTGTAAAGCTCAGCTCCCTTTTCTTTTGGCAAATACTATTGCTTGAATAAATATTTGTAAGAATTAAATTCCAGTTAAATCCATTTGGTTAGCATTTAATAAATATCTCACTGTGTGTCAGGCACTCTGCTAGTGCTTGAGACGCAAAGACGAGTAAGCCCTGGCCTCAGTTCTCAGGACACTCACAGTTCAGTAGGGAGATAACATGCGGACAGACGTCATCCAGCACGTCGGTGCTACAGTAGAGGGAGGGTACAGGGTACACCAGAGGGCATGGTTAGTTCAACCTGGGGGTGAGGGGAAATGATTCAGGAAGATCTCAAAGAAGAGGTAAATTTGTCAAATGATTTGAAAATGTAATCTTGACGTGAGTTGGGCTTTGGAGTCCAACAGGAACTGGATTTGAATTACGGCTCTGACACATTATACCCTGACCCAGGACAAATTACTTCTCTAAACTTTAGTTTCTTAATTGGAAAATGGGGATGATGAGTCTTCTCATAGGATTGATGATGCTAAAAAGAGATCATCTATCCCCTGATGACTGTTAGGTGTGTGTCTCCACCCCAGACTTTTCTCTCCCCTGAAATCTAGACTCATATATTCTGCTGCTTACTTGACATCTCCACTTAACATAGGCATCTCAAACTTAACATGTCCGACACCCAACTCTGAATCTTTTCCTCTAAACTCTCTTTCACCTATGGTCTTTCCCATGCCTGTTAATGGCAATTTCACAAGAGTCAGATAAAATCTGATACCTTGAAATGTGCCTCCTTACATCACAAGTGTCACATGTGTATATTTTGATTTTTTTAACTCTGGGAAACCAATTTAAATAGACTTTCAAAGACACATCATTGAATAAAAGCTAAGTAGTAAAATACACTGCCAGTGGTAGAAATGTAATCCAGATTTCTCAGCTCCACAAACCTTTGGGAGGAAAATAAGAGTGACTTTACCCCGACTTCAGCCTAAGTGGACTTTGGAAATGCTAAGTGCTCTCAGATTTCCTCTTGAAAGTGTTTGGAGTCCCCAGAGATGTGTCTGCCCTCTCCTTTCTCTCCTGCTACAATGGAATTTTAGTTCCCACCACATGAGGAGTGCCGTCACTACATTGTCACCACTGTCCGCACTGAGGGACATTGACATGGGCACGGGTATTTGTCCTGAGGGCTCTTTCTCCCACAGTTTCAGATCCTGCTAACATCTCTCACTCACAATCGCCCTTGGAATTTGTGCACAAGAAATCTCTGTAAATCACTTTAGGATAACTTAGAACTGAGTCCAAAGAAGTTAGAGGACAATCCTTCCCACTAGCTCCTTGCTGCCTCCACTCTTGTTCTTGTGGCCCCAACCCAGCATTCCTACAGATAGGCTCACACACATCTGAATCTTTGGAGGAGCATGGCTGAGCCAGACTTTCTGCTAAACAAAGCAGTCAGAAAAATATGAAAACTCGAATTCAGTCCACTTTGGAGGTGAATGAATGAAAAACCAATCTCTTTTGTGTGTGTGTATATCACCTGCCCTGCCCCCAAGTCTTTCCATCCAAGTCTATAATCAGCATTGAATGAGAACTTTGTATTTTCTGCCACTGCTTTAGACACCATGGTGAATATAAATACTGTAAAACATGGCAATTGGTCTCAGTGGGATATAAAAATATAGTATTGGAGAAGACACCTACCTGGCACAGAGCAGTGCAAATGCGTACATCTCTTCCATCTCAAGCTAGTTTTGCAGCTACTTATACTCCAAAGAGAAGTATCCATACTTCTATGTGCTTCCTCAAGACGGAGCATCTTTAAACATTTTCTAATTAAATTATCTAATATCCAATTAATGTGTGTTTGGAAAAAAGAGGCCCAGTATAACTATGTCAAGTCTTTAAATCATACTTTAAAGAAAGCACATTTAGTTATTTTACTCTTTTAATGAAAATTACAGGTTTCTGAAGAAATAGAGAAAATGTCATCTAGAGAGAGGGCTTTACAAATTAAAATATTAGATCTGGAAACTGAGCTTAGAAAGAAAAATGAAGAACAAAAACAACTTGTTTGCAAAATGAACAGTGTAAGTATTAGTATGGCTTAATGTGTTTTCATAAAAAATAAGTTAGCATTTAACATTCTTACCATGTAGTTTAGTTAAACAGTTAAAATACGAAGTGAGGGGAATCAGGGCTATTGCTTTACTGATAGTATTAAAAATAACAAATAATATAAATCTAAAAAATAAAAATGTCAGGATTATGTCAAAGAATTATCCTGCATCCTTGATTGCTTCTGTTACATTTCCCCCAAAGTCTTGTCAGGCCCTTCCCCTGCATATTACTTTTGCATGACAGCTGCTTAATGCAAATTACAGATATAATCTACTTATTTTCTTTCTCTTATGAACTTTTCAATTTTGAAGATAAACACAATTTAAACTATTATTATGAGTTAGATTTTGATATCTCTCTGGAATAATGAATATTATATTTTAGGAAGTAGTAAGTTGGTATTAAGTAAATACTCAGTATTATTATATCTGCATATGAGATGGATGCTTTGGTCCATTCAGCCATGAAATGAGAATACCAAATTGGCTGTGTTTAATTAGTCTTCTAATGTTTTTTCCTAAATATTCATGAAATAGTCAATTGGCATAAGATACAATGAAATCTAGCACTAGTTGTGACTAAATTACTTAAAACTATCTACTTAACAGTGACGTAGAATATAATTATACTTTATTTTTTCCAGGAGCCAGAGATTCCATGAAAACTATTTTTTTCATTCCTAAGTGTCTTAAAAGTTGAAAACCAGGTTCAAAAGTTAAATGATTTTTGGCATGCATCATTAGTTTAATATTTACCATCAAAAGATCCATGGCAGTTTAATCAGAACAAAACATTTCTCACTTTTAATTTAGCACAGGCCTTCCCTTTATTTCTAAACTTTTTTTTTTTACTCACCATCACAGTTTCTCATGTTGTAAAGTATGTGTGATGTTCTTTGTGTAATTAAGCCTCTGAAAAAATAAAGTAAATTTACTAAGATCAGGTGGGTTTTGCTATAGTGTTACCAGTACTTTGCCAAAGCTACCAAAATACGTAGGTTTCAGATTTGGTGTTTTATTAAACCTGATAATTTTTACAATAGTAAAAATGTAGAATTCTAAGCATAGATTTAGGCATTGCTGGAAAATGAGTTCATGTGTTCTGTCCATTCCAGGGAACAGCTAGCTCAGTGAGCAGTTCAGTATTTATTTTGTATACATGCCTTAGCCCAGTTGTGCGATAAGCACTCTGAGGGCCTGTCTCATAGCTGATTGTAGCCTGGTGTCTGCCCACAGTAGCAGGCCTCTTCACATTTTCTGCCCAGGTGCCCCAGTGGGGGCCAGAGTGGATGCACAGACCCAAGAGTGACCTCAGCAGCTTAACCCAGGCCAGCCTTCCTGAAGCCTGAAATGTCTTTGGAGTCATGTATTATGCTAAAGTCCATATAGGTTTTGCATTCTACCCTACAATATGTGTGTTTGATTAATATTTTTCCCTCCAAATTGTTGAGTAAAATTGATGTTTCACAGAGATTCACTATATTAATTCTGTGACTGTGTGTAGCCCGGCCTAGCACATTGCTTCATACCACCCCCTTCCCCCGAGGGGCATCACTCAGTTTCAGAACCTATCAGGTATCACTCAACACCTGAGAGAAGGAAATAAGGTGCCTACATTTCATTTGGAAGCCAGATGATATTTTCAGCCTGTCTTTATCTAAAGTATGATTTTCAGTGAACAGATCTACTTGGGAATTTAAATGCAACTCAATATTTTAAAAAATATATTAAGTTTTTACTTTTTCCTCGAATGAAGAACACCTTTAATATTGAGTTCTTTTTATTTTTCTAAGAATTCTTTCTTAGAATTTTATAATTCTAAGAATTCTAAAAATAAAATGTTCATATTATCAAAACTAGAAGTCTGTCCATTTTTAAAACAGGGAAGTCATTTTTATGGTATAGAATATGAATTTTTAGGCAGAGGAAATGGCAAAAACTAGTATTAAAATGTCTTGTTAAATAGTGGAAACTATGACAGTTTACAGTAAACACATTTGTTAAGTTAATCATGTTAAATATGTAATAATTTGGGGCTAAGTGAATGTGCATTACCACAGACTAGATCACGTGTCTGTCACTAAATAGATCACTAGGTAGCCGTGGATGTGCTTTAGTTTTGTGGGTTTTAAAGACAAGTGAACTGTAAGATAAGTTAATGAACACATCAGATGTTAGGATTCTTTGAAAAAATTAAAAATCATGTATTAAATTATTTTATATTATAAATTTTATATTATGACTCTGTTCTTTGCTAGAATGTCACTACTGATTATCTTTATTTCTTTTTTTTATTTAGAAAGCACAACATCAGGAAGTATATTTGAAAGAAATAGAACAGACTCTTGAAAAGTCGGAGAATCAAAATGAGAGTATTAAGAATTATTTACAGTTTCTTAAAACTTCTTATGTAACAATGTTTGGATAAATTGTTGAACTTATTTTCTATAAGCAATGAGTTTTTACTATGAGTCTAAAAAGTGATCAGGTAAAAAATAAACAAATATACTATCTGTTGTTACACTTGATGATTTATGAGTGGTAGTGTTAGAGTTTTTATATAAAGATTTTGAAACATACTTTATTATCCACTGGAAACTTTAAAACAAGATAGATGCTAGTATTCCTTTTTGCTGGATAATTTTCACTTGGCTCTGGTTTAATTCCTATTTAAATTATTTTGGTTTTTAGAATATTTTTCACATACACACAAAAGAAGCCCGAATCATTCTTTGTGACTGTCTGCAGCCACCATTCAAATGAATTTGTAATAAATCTAGGCCAATTATGACCCAAATACACGATCGTAAATAATGTATATAATTGTTTTTCATTGTGGTGCTATATAGATATAATAAAGGCAAATATTCTGGATATTAATTTTTAATAATGGTATAATTACATACTTTATAAAGATACCAAATGTCTCAATGTACTTACTCTTGTTTCAAGTATATGCTAAGATGCCATTATAATTTCTGTGAGGTTTTAAATATAGAATTTGAAGTCATAGCTATTAAATGCCAACTGATGGTGACAGATGAAAATATATTGGCATGCATTGTTTCTTTATAAAGGATAGGCATTCACACTCTCCTGTGAATTCATAGTATCTTTGTTCTTCATTTTATATTAGTGATTATCTGATGTAATTAGTGTAGATGTTCTAAAGCTCCTGAGTTAACTAAAAGCTTAAGGGGGAACACCTGGTCCCAGCCCTTCCACGGCCAACTCATATGAGATGATCAAAATAAGCACTCCTAATACCAAGAAGCTTTAGGATAAGGTCTTTATTATTGGGATGATATAGATAGAGAAGATACCATGAACTTGTTCCCTGTAATCTCCCATCCTATGCTGTGTGCCAAGGCAGGATACCCTAGAAGGCAATGGATGTAGTTGATAAGGGGTCAAGTAATAGTGACTCCTCTTGGACAATGGCTGAGAGCTGTTTATTCAAAGGAACACTCAGGTCTCAAAAGATTGTTCAAGAGAGAAGTTGTGTACTACACAGTCCAGCCTATGAACAAAACCCAGTCTCCCCAAGATGTTTGATCCTCTTCTCCGATCAAAAATGGGGCCCTGCTTTTCTCTGGTTCCCTCACTGTGAAGACTGCTATATCATCTGTAGGGGCCTACTTTCCAATGACCCATGTGCTTCATAGTATTTTTCTTAAAATAGTAAAATAATAATATAAGGAACTGGCCACATTTTTTTTCTGCCCAATGATTGCTAGCTAACAATATTAGTGTTACTGTGGTTTTTGTTTTTAAATCATAGTACTTGTAGTACTGAAACACATACATTCTTGACCCTTGTGGTCCTTTCTTCATCTCCTAAGGCGAAAGGAGCCTTAACAAATACTCACGTGAAAGGAAACAGGTTCCTGAGCATTGCTTACTAGACTGTGAGCTCCTTGAGGACAGAACTGTGTCTGACTCATATTTCTATCTCAGCCCCTACACAATACCTGGGATATAGTAGGGACTCATTTGATGTTTGGGGATAAATGAATAGAAGTTGAAAGATGCAGGTATTCGTATTCTTGTTTTAGATAGGAAAAAATGTAAGCATAGAGGGATTAACTACCATGGCTATGGTATAGAAGTCAGCATTTGGAAGGCAACTGTGCTCACCACTGTACCACCAGTGCTGCACTAAAGTGGGCATTTGAACTCATGCCTTCTGACTCCAAAATGAAAGTTCTGTGTACCAGGCTGTTTTCTTGTTGCAAGCAGTGGCAGCAGCAGCCCAGCAGCAACATTGCTGTTGTTTATTGAGTCCTCGCTACTTGCCAAAGTTCTGAGGATGGTACATGTATTAACCCATGTAGTCTTTACACTTGATGAGACAGCTGCTATTAATTCCATTTACTTTTCAGGAAACCAAAACACAGCCCAAGGTCACACAGCTAGTAAGTGGCAGTCGTCCAGAGCCTCTGCTCTTAACTCTGACCATACTACTTTCATATATGTTTCATAAATAAAGGTATTGGTTACTTTTAACAGTCATGCATTTACCTCATCTACAAATACTTTCTCTTTTTTAATATTTTTAATGTTTATTGCAGTAATTTGTGTATATGGCATTTAAAAATTGGAACTTGCAATGTTTTAGATAGACTGTGGAAAGAAAAGGCTATCACAAAGTCCCTAAGGTTGGCACTGAGATGCTAGAGACATGGGACAACAAAGGGAGTTTGCTAGACCCTAGAAGAACTTTAACAGTCCCTGTGCTTACTGTTTCCATGTGGACGTTAAGCACAGACGTTGGGCTCTTCTGGGGTGTGAACCAAACTCAGCCCAGAGTCAGTGCCCTGGTGTCCCTGAGGAGTGTCTCCATTTCCAGCTTTCCACCATCCCAGAAAGCCCTTGTCCCACAGTACTAAAGTCTGGCAGGATTTTCCTTCTATCCTTGACATTCAGAGCCTCATGACTTTCTTAAGTTCTAAAAGTTTTCTTCCATTATTTATGTGATTATTACTTCTCTACATATTCCTTTCCTTCTCATTTGGTCCCCTGGATCTGACCTCTGTGCAACTTGCCTTTTCCCTTGGGGTGCCTGTCATAGGGTTTCTTGTGAGATATTTCTTCCACCTGATTTTTCTGACCACTAATGTGGTTCTCAAGGGCAGTCATTCTCTTTTTCTGTTGGATATTGAATTTATAATTAAGAAACCATATTTTTTAGTTCCTAAAAGTGTTGGGGTTTGTGGGATTTTTTTGTTTTTGCTTTTTTGGGGGGTTTTATTTTTGAGGAAGATTAGCCCTGAGCTAACTGCTGCCAATCCTCCTCTTTTTGCTGAGGAAGACTGGCCCTGAGCTAACATCCTGCCCATCTTCCTCTACTTTATATGTGGGACGCCTGCCACAGCATGGCTTTTGCCAAGCGGTCCCATCTCCGCACCGGGGATCCGAACCGGCGAACCCCAGGCCAACGAGAAGCGGAACGTGCGCACTTAACTGCTGCGCCACCGGGCTCGTCCTCAATTTTTTTGTCTTTTAGAACTGAAATTCCATTATATTTTCATTAAAATTCTCTTCCATTCTTCTTCCATTGGTTCTGCTTCACTAGGCATCTCCTGTTTCTGTTCTGCTGACAGTCTTTCTTTCCAAACCCCATACGTGAGTGTTGATTTTCCTTCTCTCCCCATGGTCGTGGTTCCCTCACTACCTGCCAGCCGCCTGGCACATTTCTTGGGCAGTAGCAGGCCAAGTGGTGAAAGGTACGAGGGCTTCAGTTGTTGTGCGCCTGGACCTGTTACCCTCTGCTGAAGTGCTTGCTATGAGAACCCACTCTGCTCCCAGACTTTTTCAGTCACAAGCAGCCGCTCTTTTCCAACTACAAAGATTGGAAACACTTCATTCCACTGGAGAACCCGCTTCAAGGTTTTCTGGCATCAGCAAGTTTGTCGTAGCAAAAAACAAGTAAAGTCTCTTTGGAGGGGAACCCAGGGAGCATCTGTACCTTGAATGAGGTGGAGCAGTTTAAAGAATTAGTTCAGTCTGTATCTACTGGCTTGAGATTGTCCATGATGTTTATTTTTAGGTGAAGAAAAGTCACAGAATTTTGTATTTGTTATGGTTCACCTTTTGTAATGAAAACAAGCATCTCTCTATTTGTGTATGTAAGTTCACATATGTTGGTATAAGCATGGAGAAAGGGAAGCCTACATGCTGTGGTAGGGATGGGGTAAATAGTAAAAACTTCTCAATTATTTTGATGAGTTTCTCTGCTTTCAATTTTTTTTCTAATCTGATAATAAAAAATGTTAAAAGGTTGGAGGACAGGCATGAGAGGTGTAGGGAGTGGAAGAGTAGGATTGGTGAGAGGTCGTGGTCTGAGAATGAAATATTGGAATTTGATTTTCAGAGGTGGAGTGGTTGTGGACAAGGAAAAAGTGAAGAGAAGTGTGCTGGAGGTAGAGATGGAGGTCACTGGAGTCCAGGAGCTTGAGTCCCTGAGAAGGCTTGGATGTTGAAGCTATCTAGGATGTGGAAGGAATTGGGATAGAGCTGAGGAACAAGCATCCTGGTTAAGTGTGAGCATAGGAGTAGATGACTGTGATAAGGAATGAAGTTTTGAAACTCTATCAATGGTTTCTGATTGCATTTAGAGTAAAATCCAAAGTCCTCACCATGACCCTCAAGGCCCTGCGTGTTCTGGCCCTCACATCCATGGCCTCAAGGCCCTGCGTGTTCTGACCCTCACATCCATGACCTCAAGGCCCTGCCCACCTCTTCCCTGCCCTCTCATACCGCTCCCCTCACCCACTATGCCCAGTTGTACCTGGTTTCCTGAGAACGAGTTCATTCCTTTCTTTTTTCGCATCTCAAAATGCTCTTTCCCCTACTCATGGCCTAACTAAATCCTACTCATTATCTTGTGTACCTTCCTCTTCTTTTCTTTCATAATTGGCAATTAGTTATTTGTGTGATTATTTGTTTCATGTTTGTCTCGCGAGATTTTAACCCCATGAGGATTTACTGTTCTGGAGCCTGTTAGCTACCACATAGCAGGCATTAAGTACAAATTTATTGGATGGATAGATGGAGGGATGATGATATTGCCATTAGTGCTGAGCTTCCAAGTAGGGAGAGGGGATTTGCCTAAGAAAGGTAGGGAAATAGAAAGTCTGGGAGAATGAGTAGCTTTCACTCCTGAGGGCTGTGCGGGAAAGTTTCCTGGGTGAAGGGTTGGGTTTCCTTTCAGGTGGAGTTGGGGACTGAAGAGATGCAGGGTGCAGGGGACCTGTTTATAATCAGCCGGCTTCCAGATGCCGCAGTGGGAAACAGGAGGGAGCTGGCTTTGGGAGTGGATCAGGAAGGTAGAATGGGTTACTTTACAGCTGTTGGCTTCAGATGGTTTAAGAGGAATTTCCCTTTCTTTTCTTATCTAAAGAATTAATAAAAATCTCATGTGTTGTCTTCTTTTCGTTTGATACAGTTGAATTGGGGAAGTTGCTTAAATCCTAAGTGTAACTTAGTGTCTTTGATATATTTCACATTACAACTAGTTGTGGTACTTTCAGACAACACTTCCACAGAAGAAAAAATAAATATTAAAAATAAATAACTTTTCTTCCTTACATTTAATTTATGATTTCCTTAAAATTGTAAAGTTTAGACTTTTAAAAATAGCTCAAGTATCTTGCTTGTTTTCTTCTTTGGCATAGTTTGGGGTGGGGTTGGAGGGAGGAAGAACTGTTAGGAGCCCTCTATAGCTAGTTTGTTGTTATTAGATGGAGTTAATATTGACAACAGATTGCAGTTAAAACTATAAAAATTAAACCTGTGATTAACTATCATACAATATTTGATTAGAAACATTTTAATTATACACTGTGACTGCTTTTTGCAAGCTTAAAGTTTATTTTTTGCAACATTTTTGTAAAAAGAAAACATTATTTCCTATCTTTTTAAAAAAAAAGGAGCTCAATGTTTTTTAAAAAAAGAACTAAACGGAAAGGACATCTAAACCCAAGGTGGTAAGACATATGTAAATGATCTTTAAGAAAAAATAATTTCATTTTAAAAATTAATGAAAAC